AGGCTGGCACTCTGCGCTCATCTCACTCAGGCCTGCACACGGGTCATAAAGTCCTCCTGCTCTTCACCCTGGCCCTGAGCTGCCCTCCTAGCAGGCTGAGCAGAACCTGATGTCCATCTCTTTCCAAAGAAGGGAGCTTCTGCTCAGGGCTCCTGGCTGTGCCCTCATCACGCCTGCAGCCAGACCTTGAGGCCAGGCCCGAGACTGCCATGCGGCTCCCTGTAGAGCATGTGCCAGGGACGCACACGTCCCTGTGTCGCATCCTCTGCTCGCAAACCAATAAGGCCAGGCTGGGGCGCCGGCCTGCACCCCACAGCCCCATCTGATCTGGGCGGCGTGCACCACCTGGCCTCCTTGGTTCCAGAGAAGAGGAGCTATGCCTATCACCTCCAGGTTCCCTCCACCCCCTCCTGACACCTGGACTCCTTTGGGCCATGATTTCCCAAAACGTGGCCTCAACTCGCACACATTTTGTTCTGCTTCTGATACGCGATTCGTTTGTGAAGATGGTAACGTGCTCAGGGTCCCTCGAAGAGTTCATGTCGTCAGGAATGACCCACGAAGCCAGGTGCTGTCTGTCCTTACCCTCAGCATCGTCACGGTCAGTGCAGGAGGTGGCACCTGGTCTTCACTGGTGCAGCAGTTGGTTTCCGGGTAGCAGGTGGCAAGAGAGATGTGTTTGAGGGAGTCCCCTTTGAGGTGGACACATGAGGAATTGGCCAAGTGACCACTGCTTAAGATCAGGGTGACAAAGCCACCAGGCTGCAGGGCCAGATTGTCCATGCCGAGCCCCCTGGACCCCCATGTACCCAGAGGGCTCCTGGCTGCAGAGCCAGGAGGACCTGGCGTCTACCCTCTGACCCTAAGTCCTGTTCTTGTTCCCTGGCTGGACCTTGGTCCATGCACCAGGCAGCTCCTGATCACAGCCCAGAGGGAGATGGAGGGCCACCCACCAAGAGACTTCATTGGGAGCAGGAAGAGAATACCTACGAAGGCATCTTTGAAGGTGTCTTCTCTTGGTTTGGGGGGATGGGCGATGTCTGTCCTCTGATGAGCAGGTGCTCTCTCTCCCTGGTGCTTGAGTGGCTGATTTATCTAAAGGTGTGTCAGCACCAGGATCAGATGAGCAGCCAGCCCCTCCTCCCTGCTGACGGCAGCTGTGCCAATAATTCATTTTTTAGCTCATTAGCTAACAGAGGCCATGAGCAGTGGTCCTCTGGGGCACCGGAACGAGGTGAAGTGATGTACTGCTGGCTTCCTGCTCTTGAACTGGCCTTCCTTGGGGAAAAGAAAGGGTGCAGGAGCCCAGCTGGGGACAGAAGAAGAGCAGGACGTCAGAGTGACCACTGGCATGCCTGCACCTGGCATCGTGGATTCCCAGGGTGGTGCCTTAGGCAGAATGTCCTCATACCCGGCAGCATCCACCTCTCACCTGTTGGCCGTGCGGAAGCCTGGCAAGGGCAGTGGAGGTCATGGCTCAGGATGCCCTATCCGAATGCCAAGTACCTACAGTTGGCCTCTTACAGTTCTGGAGGCTGGAGGCCCAAGGTCGAGGGGTTGGTGTCTGGCAAGGCCTCTTCCCGTCTTGCAAGTGGTTCCCTCTCATCCTTATCTGGCTCTCCTTGCACTCAGAGAGCAAGGGAGGCCTGGTTTCTCTTCCTCTCAGATGGGCACCTGCCCCAGGACCTTAGGGCTCCACCCTCATGCCCTCATTTAGCCATAGCCACTGCCCTAAAGACCCGAGTCCAGCTCCAGTCCCTGGGGTTAGGGCTTCAACACAGGAATCGGTGGGCAGGGAGCCAGGACACTTCAGACTTCTCCTCTGTGGGCAAAGGCCAGCCCACTCAGCCCTCCAACTGTGGCAGGCACAGGGTCACTTCAGTGACCCAGTGCCCTTCACCCCCATGTCTCTGAGCCCTCCGTACCGTTAGGGGGCCTGGGAGACACCAGCAGGCTTGTCCAGGCCCCAGCCGAGAGCAGCTCACCTGGCCACACCGAGCACGTGGAGTTGGAGGCCCCCGGGTCTGCACGTTTAGGAACCTCAAGTGCCAGCAGCAGCGAGGAGCCCCAGCCCCAGGCCACCGGCACCTCGGGTGCACACGCCGCCCCACTGCGGATGCTCTGTGCTTTATAAGAATACCAGCAGCTGTTTTCAGAGGGGCCTCTGTGGCCTAGGCCCTGTGTTTGTACTAACCAGGTTAAAACTGCTAACAAGAGTCGTGGCTGATAGGTGCAAAGCCAGCAGCCTCCCTTAGCTCCCTGGAAGTCACCTCTTGGTGTCTAACAAAAGATCACAGTCCCCAGGGACGCAGGGGTTGACTTCGCAGGACTGTTTTGGAAAAGCCCACAATGCTTGGTGAAGGGCCACAAGTACAGCCACACGCTGAGCAGCTCTGGGACATCCCGGGTGGAGGGTGGAGGTCCATGTGGACCGAGGCCAGGAGGGCAGACCCTGTGGAGAGTCCACGAGGCTTGTCTTCTTGCAGTATTCCCGGCACCGGTCCCGAGGCCTGGCCCCTCTTCTGTATTGGAGTCAGAGGTCCAGGTGGCTGTCAGCAGCTGCACCCTGCTGGGGACTCTTACGTCCCCTGGGGCCAGGCCGTCCCCTAGGCCTCTGCCAGGCCCTCTTCCTGTTTCGGGCACATGATGCTGGAGCGCCCCTCTCAAAGAAGGCTCCCCAGACAGCACGTTTTCCGCCCTGCAGACCTGAGCCCGGCTTCACTCTGTGTCCAAAGGACACCAGTTTTTAAAAACAGCCAGCAGCCCATCCCACCCTGTGCTGCTGTCAGTGACTGCCCTCCAGAGCATTCGCCACAGCTTCCTGTGGTGGCCCATTGGAAGGCCGGTGGCCACCGTCCTCAGAGAACATCCAGACCCAGCAGGGGGGTCAGAGCTGTGGGATCTGCACTCTGCCTTTGGCTGGGGTATTTGAATATTAAAAAGAACATTTAATAACTGCAGTTGGGACCGGAGTTCCTATGCTAAGTTCTCCAGCTTACCCTGGATGACTTAGCAATGACTATTAAAATCAATCGGAGCAGAATAATACGGTCTGATTTTATGCCTACCGAAAAAATGAGAGTTAGCAAATTGGAACTTGGAAATCTGGACATATCCCACGCCATTATCCCTTTCGATTTAATTCACGTTTTGCTCTTTCTCTTTTGTGATTTATGAAATGCATCAACAAATGTTTAATATAAGTAAGGTTTTTAAAATAATTTCAAAACCACTGGGGTTTTTTGTCTCTTCTTCGTCACCAGAATTTCCGGACACCGTCTGCTTTTGTACCTGGTGTCTGCCCAGGTGGAGCACAGGTCATCCTGGGCCGCGGCCAGTGTTTGTCCTGGAAATCTCCCCATGAAAGAGTCAGGGGTCACTCTGGGGTCACTCGCATGTACCAGGAAGTGAAGCAAAACTAATCCAGGTTTGCTCCTGGAAGGATCTGTTTGCCTAAGTATTTAGCGACAGATTAGGGCTAACCCGACACTGGATCACCAGGCGCAGTGTAAACAGGGGTAAAGGTGTGAGCGGCCTTTCTTCTGCACGTCCTGAATGATGTGCCCTCAGAGCCTGTGGCGGGAGGAGGGCGGGAGGCCTGAGCGATTCCTGCTGGCCAGCAGCTGTGTACCCTGGTGATGCCCAGGACAGCCTCTGGCTGTAGGGGAGGCCGGCTGCGGCTCGGTGTCCTGGGGGCTTCCGTAACTTGCTCTGGGCATGTGGGGGCTTTTCTTACCATCTTCATCACCCTCATCGAAAAGCTTGAGCAGGCTCCTGGCACCATTCCCACGTGGTTCTTTTTAGAGTCTTGGTCCGCTCCCTTTTCTCCCCATAGCAATGCCAGAGTCTGGAGGGTCCCTGGGTTTTCTGGCTCTTACATCTTTTGTTGTTGTTGTTGTTGAGAAACCAACCCCAACCCCAGATGCGATGGCCTGGGCCCTCCGCCTGGCCCTCCCTCTTGCCAGGACACTGGTCTTGCTGTCGGGGTTCTGCCTGCCCTGGCTTCTCTCGTCACTCTGTCCCCTCCTCTTTTTCCTCAGCCCTCCTACCCGATGTCACAGGCAGGGTCCCAGCTCTACAGACCCCTCGACACCCAGCTCCAGAGCTCGGCCCCTGCCAGGCTGCTGGGAGTCGGGGACCCGCTGCCCGCTTCACCTGCTCTCCACGCCCCGGAGCCCACCCCAGGCCTCCCCAGCTTCCCCCAGCTCAGCGCTGGCTGCAGGGAGCCGCCTGCCTGCTTCCTCTCCTGGGCCCTGGAACGCTTTCCCCCAGAAAACCCAGCTGTTCTGGGTCGTGTCAGGAAGGCCGGGCATCCTGTCTCTTCCACGAAGCCTTTCCCAGGTCTGAAGAGATGACAGGAGTGCCCGCACGTCACCCAGCTCTGTCTGTTTTAAGACCTCCCCTCTGGCCTGAGAGTGGGCCTCAGTGACACCTAGGAAGAGCCCTCCTGCCCAGATCAGCCCAGCGGAGAGTAGACTCCGCCGGCCGGGGCCCAGAGCCGCAGTGCACAGTTGACACTGAGTCGGGGTTGGAGGGAGGACACTTGGCCAGAGCCCAGGGAGGGATAGCTGTGGGCTCCTTCTCCTGGAGCCTATGGAAACCCCTCAGTAGACCCCCACAAGAAGGGGCCCTCCTGACAGCTCTCTTTCAAGGTCAAGGCTGCTGCACTAAAACAAAGAACTCAAGTCGGTGTCAAGGCTGTGGCCTTAGAGAGCTGGCTCTCACCCTCTGAGGGCATCACAAGCCCTGCAGGGCTAGCTCACCTCCCCAGAGGTGCCGATCCTGGGTGCTGGCGGGGGGCAGGGAGCTCGCCCTTCTGGTACGTTGCCAGGGGGTGCCTCTGCAGGTCAGGACACCACTTTGGGAACCGTGGGCATCCTCCTGCCCTCACCCGGCTTCCTCTGCCACGTGGACACTTCACTGCTCCGGGGTTGAGGGGCGGGGGCTGCAGCCGAGGTCCTCCTGCCTGGTGTGATCACGCCTGTCTGGTGTCATTGCAGGGAGGAGAAGGAACGGTGGATCCGGGCCAAATATGAGCAGAAACTCTTCCTGGCCCCACTGCCCTGTACTGAGCTGCCCCTGGGCCAGCATCTGCTGCGAGCCACCGCCGACGAGGACCTGAGGACAGTCATCCTGCTGCTGGCACACGGCTCCCGGGAGGAGGTGAACGAGACCTGCGGGGAGGGCGACGGCCGCACGGCGCTGCACCTGGCCTGCCGCAAGGGCAACGTGGTGCTGGCGCAGCTGCTCATCTGGGTAGGTGGCGGCGTGCCCTCTCTGTGCTGGGCTCTGTCTGGTGGAAGGCCTTCCTTACCAGCGTGAGAGCGGGGATCGAGTCCTAGGAAGGAATTTGGACTGAAGTGCGGTGGCCCCTGCCCTCTGGACTCACCGTGTGGGGTGGCAGAGCGAGGATGAGAGGCAGAAGTGAGGCTGCCTCAGGAGAGCACTCGCCTGGCACGTGTGCGGCCCTGGGTTCCATCCCCAGCGTGTGGCGGGGGGGCGAAGCCCACCGGACTCTCCTTGTGGTCCTCTTGGTGTTGCCCTTGCCGGTTCTGAAGGTCCATCTTTCTGATGTCCCCTGAGGTCAAACGTGATGGCAGTGGCCCCTTTTTCATTTCCATCCTCTTTGGGGACCTGGGAAGGGTCCGATCTCATGGCTCGTGGCATTTCCCCATTGCCAAACCTTGGGTGTTTTTATTCACAAAATGCAATGGTAGAGCCCTAAACCCTGGAATTTGAGGGGGTGGGAGTTTGTCAAGGGGCTTCCTCTGGAATATTCTGAGTAATTTTTACTTGAAAACACTTTTCCTTCACACGGAAGCTCAAGTGGTAGACCATGATCCCGCAAGAGGCCCAGCTCCCGGGGCACCTGGACAGAGCCACAGGGGAGTCAGAGGAGGGGCGCCCTGCTGGGGCTCCTTTGCCTGCACCCGAGGCAGCTGCACAGCCCAGTCCGGCACCACTGAGGAGGACTGCAGCTTCCTCCGTGTCTTTAACCTACTTTTTGATGGTTGCAGTAGAATTAGACACGCAGATACTAAATCAAAAATCGATCAGATCCTCAGCCTCATTTTGGCTCAGTAGAGACTGAATGAAACTAAATAGCAGTGTTTTTAGTTTGCCTGGGCTGCAGTGACAGCAAACCAGTGACCAGCTCAGCCCTGGCTGCAGGGAGCCACCTGCGGCACACAGCTGCACTGACTTTTGCAGCTCTGGAGGCTGGAAGCCCAAGGTCAAGGTGTCAGCAGGGCTGCTGTCTCCCGTGGCCTGCCTTCTTGCCGTGTCCTCACATGGTCACTGCTCTGTGGACAAGCATGTCCAGTGTCTCCTGCTCTTCCTAGAGGACACCAGTCAAATTGGCCTGGGGGCTGGGATTCCAGCACAGCAGTGGCGGGCACACAGTTCCACCTTCCCAGTGCACGTGGCTTTCCCCGCCCCGTTGTCCAGGAGCCCTCCCCGCAGTGCGTCCTGCTGCTGCGAGCTGGCAGAAGCAGCAGAGGGCCTTGCTTGTGAGCAGCAGGCCTAGGAATGTGGTGTCGGAGGGAGGGACTTGCCCTCCCTGCCTTCTCTCTGACAGTCACGGTCCTGCGAAAGACTCAGAACGTGCACACACACACCACACAGTTCATTTCTTCTACCAGTGAATGTGTCACAGTAATGGAGTGACTGAGTGGGTCCTGGGCACAGGACCCTGTGGCTCTTAGGAGCTGCGCTTGTGAGTCATTTTTAATGATGTAAGAAAATGATCACACCCAGCGTTCAGTTAAAAAAAAAAAAATACAGAGTATTCATATAGAGTTTTATCTCCATCACAGCTAGGTCCGTTAGAGTCAAAGAACCATTAGAGGGAATCACTACACTCAGCAAAGGTGACCGCTGAGTGGCCAGGTCACGGCTGAGGTTTTCCTCCTGTGTTCCTAACGTGTTACTATGTGTTTTCTTTTTTCTTTTTTAATATTTATTTTTTAGTTTTCGGTGGACACATCTTTATTTTTTTTTATTTGTATGTAGTGCTGAGGATCGAACCCAGCGCCCTGCCTATGCCAGGCCAGCACGCTAGGGCTTGAGCCACATCCCCAGCCCTACTTATGTGTTTTCCACAATGAAAATGAATTGCCTCTGAGATTTTTTTAAGTGATGATTTTTTTCATTTACAAATGGAAAGTTGAAGTAGAAACAACAAGATTCAGAGTTGTCCCAACCCATTCGTGTTGCAGGGAAGGGCATCCGCTGGCAAAGGTGAGCTTCCAAGGCGCCGGTGCCCCTGGCCCCGCTGGCCCCGGCCGCTCCGGCCCCCAGCCAGTCCCCGGTAGCCAGTTCCCACGTGCAGGGCTTAAGGGGAAGCTGCCCCGCGCTCCCTGCCGTCTGGTCCCCGGGCACTAACGGGCTTCTGTTCCTCCGCAGTACGGGGTGGACGTCATGGCCCGCGACGCCCACGGGAACACGGCGCTGGCCTACGCCCGGCAGGCCTCCAGCCAGGAGTGCACCGAGGTGCTGCTGCAGTACGGCTGCCCCGACGAGCGCTTCGCGCTCATGGCCACCCCCAACCTGTCCCGGAAGAACAATAACCGGAACAACAGCAGCGGGAGGGTGCCCAGCATCATCTGAGAGCGGCGCCCCTGCCCACCACGCCGGGGACCCGCCTCGCCGTCCGCTCTCGGGGTCACAGCACGTGAGTCCCGTCACGTCCCCTCCCTCTTCCTGGTGGCCACCTCCCGCCCCGCCACCCACTCACCCCCAGAAACCTCCCAACCCGGACCTCCTCGAGGGAGAGGCCAGCAGGCCGCAGAGGCGGTTCCTTTCGACGGACTCCCGCCGCAGCACGGGGGACCACGCCTCGGGTCCTTGACGATAGCACACGGCGTGGGACCCCTGCCCCGGTGGCCCCTGGACAGAGCAGGGCGCGAGGGACGAGGGCCGGGAGCGGGCGCAGGTGAGGAGCGAGGAGCAGGGGCACCTCCCCGACTGCAGTGAAGCACAGGAGCCCATTTCACGTCCACCCAGCGGAGCGCCCGCATCCCATCTCTTCTCCAGGAGCTTGACGGCATAAATCAGGAGCCGGCCCAGAGTTTGTCAGGTCTGAAGCCCCTATGATGGTATGTGTCAAATCAGTTGTAGCTAATCTGTCCAGGGAGAATACTGGCTTCATTACGCTTGTATCGTTGAGTTCTTGCAGCATTACCGCTGTTTAATAGGACATGATTACTCATCACTGAGGAGAGAGCACATTAGCCGAGGAGGTAGTCACGGGCACGCTCCGGTGATTGCCGCGATGTGATTGCCATACTCGGAGAAGCGTCGTATTATCCCAGGCATGTTCTTTGGAGCCCTCGGAGCCCTCCTTTCTAAATTCACTGTCATAATTTAGTATCTGTTTAATTTTTCAGTCCAAAGAGAGGAAATCAGTTGCTGAGTATTATTTGACTGCAGTCTCCTTGGTGCAAAAACAAAATGGAAAAAATAAATAAGAATGACTTGGAAATTCAAAAGGAAACGGTAAATCTAGCTGACATCAGCTTCTTGAGTGCATTTGGTAAACTAAGTAAATACATAAAAGGCTATTTTTTTTTTTTTCCTGAAAGTGAGAGAGATTTTCTGTCCTTTGGCCAAGGTGGATGTGCCGGGCCTCAGTCACTCCCAGGCGGCACGGCCTGCCTTACCCAGGCTTCTGTCTTAGGTCCTTAGGTAAGATGTGTGAAAATCTATTTGAATAAAAGAAGTTCATAAATATGCATTGATTTTTGTACAGACAAATGGCACCTCTGTTAATTTATAAATTGAACTGGATGTGAACTAATAATGTGCAACTAGTTGAGATAAGAGGGTTACAGATCATTGTACATGGAAAATATTCCCAGCAGTAAACACTTCCATTAATGTGATATACAGCCTTTAAAAAGGAACAGATCAAAATAAGATGGTGGTACAATTTGCTGATTAGAATCGAGAAAGGGAAGAAAAAAGACACTAGATGGAGGTCTCGTATTAGGAAGGGGGTGAAGGAGCATGACTCCTTCTTTGAAGGTGTGTTGTAGACTGAGACCACTCTTGCCCACCCAGAACAAGGAGCTCTGGCAGGACAGAGGGACTTTCTGAACCCCAGACCCTGCTCTGTGGCAAAGGCGCCTGGGCAGCAGCTGCCCGTGGTGCCAGCCCCACCGGGGTCCAGAGAACCCCGGGCAGCATGGCACCAGGCCCTCCCCATTTTACTAGTTTGCCAACACGGGGTCATCGGGGGCTTCAGACTCAGGTCCCCTTCAATGTGGTGGTCAAGGGCAGAAAAGCAAACCACGGTGCACCTTACCTTATGAAAGGGGCAGCTCTACCCAGAGCCCTGTGGCCACATGGCCCGGAAGGAGGTTGTCACATGGAAACACGGGGCGCTGGGCTGACATAGCACAGGGACGTGAAGCTTCTTGGCTCAGCAGCCACAGGAGAAGTTCCTGCTCTCATATATTAAACCTTATATTTTGTAAGAGTTTTTCCTCTTCTTTCACTTTTTAAAAAAAAAAAATTAAAGTAGGTGGGGGAAAATAAAGCTTTACACAGAATTTATATGTGGGTAAGTGTTTCACGGAGATTTCTAATGTTAATTAAGCTCAGAGGAACTGACCGGTATCCAGAACTATCACAGGTGCAGCAAGCCACAGTTCCGAGAACCTCGACCATGGTTCTATCGTCCCTCCATTTGGCTTCTAATTCTGTGTTTCATCACTGTGTAGTTATTTTAAATGTGAATAGAGAAAAAAATGTCATTGCCTATTTTTGAAGAATACATTAGCATCCAGTCCCGCTATACACATTTGCCTCTATACACCGTAGACCTTCTGTAGAGAACACAGATAGAATATAAATGAAAATCTTAAATTATTTCATTGTAGTTAATTCCCACTCTAGGAATGCTTTATCATAGTGGAGCCTTCTTTTTGAAAAGAAACGGAATTCCCTGTAAGGCTTCTCTTGGGATGTATATGAGTGTGTACATACTATATGTGTTTATAATATAATATTTTCCCAAATGACTTCTTGTCTCACTTCACCTTCCACAGCCTGAGTGCTGGACCCGTTCCCTCCCTCCCTCCCTCCTGCCCCTCCCTGCCATTTGTGGCCACGTTGCCCTGGCCCCAGGCTGCCCACTTTCTGGATCCCACATTTTGGCAGCAGATGGAAGAGCAGCAGTGGGGTTTTAAGGATTTCCTGTCAAATAAAGGAGAGTGGTGTCTAATGTGTTCTCGTGCCTGTGTCAGGCTCTGGTCCTTTCTTGGCCGGCAGTGTTCCTGCTCCCATTTGAAAGCTTACTAACGCTGGGTCTGGAGGAAGCAGGGGGCCGGGAGCCAGTGTTAGAAATGAACAGTACGGAAAGGGGGTTGGAACTTCCTGTCTACGTTCCACCCTCTAGAGAGAGGGTGACATGAGTAGCCGCCACTGCAGAGTCCACGTGACCTTTCTGTTGGAGTAGAAACTCCCGAGGTGAGAGCCAGCTGGGGGTGCCCATGGCATGGGGATCTAGACAGCACCTGGGCAGTGCTGCAGCTTGGCTTTGTGGTCACTGACCTGTGAAGTGTGAGGCACACACCTGGCAGGATTTCTTCAGCAGCCAGGGGTCCCTGCAGGGGAAGGGGCTACGATGCTGACCAGGATGAACAGACCTCAGGTGCTGCGGGGAGAGGAGAGGAGGGTACCAAGCCCAGCACCCCAGTAATGGCCCCAGGAGATGAGCAGTTCAAGAGGGAGGAACGGATTCATGAGCCTTTGCTCTCTCAAATGGTGCACTGTCCTATCTCCTAGTCAGGACGCGCAGTGTTTATGTAGCCCGGAAAGGTAGAAGAGAGTGAGCTCTTTTTTCCAGGGCTGGGGGTGGAATCCAAGGCCATGCACGTGGTCCACACACTGAGCTACACCCCCAGCTAGAGTCACTCTTGCCTGTAGTCCCTACCTGGGCACATTCTCTGCAGGCCAGTCAGGCCAAACGGCCTCTTGCAGCTCAAGTACAGGTCCACGCACGAGAGCTCCCTTTGCCACGATTCCTCCCAGCCTGATGAGGTCGATTAGAGGCGTCCTCTGCCTTGTGGCGTGGACACCAGGCTTGCCACCCTGTGCCATCTACACCAAGATGTAACTTCATTGGAAGAATGTGGTCTGCTGAGAAAGAGCTTTGGTCGGTGGACAGACAAGTCCCCCTGGCCCTGCCTTCTCCCCAGAGGGTGCAGGCAGCCTTAGACAGCCACCAGCCCTCTGGCTCGACCCTCACCTGTGGGCCTGGCGGGGTGCAAAGAGGTTTCCACCTGGCCTGGGGGACGCCAGCTCACACCTGGCAGGGATGAGGCCCAGGGATCGGGAGCGTTTGTCAGGAACAGAAATGAAGTCAGCACACACTTGGACACCCAGCCCCAGCTGGCACTGTGTCCTCACACCCTTGTCCTGGGAGGTGGCAGTGGCGCGGGAGAGAGGAACTGGGCCTGCGTGCAGGGGACAGTGCACTCAGCCCCCACTTGTCAGACGTTGCTCATTTTCTTGGTGTTCATCTCCAGAGGAGGGGGCCGAGCATTGCCCCATGCCATGACTTACGCTGTCCAAGGTCAAGGCCACCCTTCTCCCTCCTGTGCCCTTCTGGTGGCATGGACTGGTCCTCACCTTGGTGCCCTTTTCTTCTCCTCAAGGATCAGTGCTTGCTGGAGGCACCCTGCGCTGGCTGAGTGTGGCCTGAGGCTCTGCCACCCTGTCCCCACCAGACAAGCTTGTGAGGTTGATTGGAGGGCAAGTGTCCAGCTCACTGAAGCACCCACCTTCCCCCCCAAGGCCCAGGTCAACATTGTGTCTGAATTTGGCAAAAGGGGACCCGTGCAGCCCCCTGCCTGAGCTGTGTCCTAGGTGCCAGGGCCCTTATTCTTCCTCCCGGCGTTTAGAGCGTTCTGGGAGGAAACCGGAGGGGGCAGTCTGCACCCCTGCCTGGGCACGTCCAGCTGGCCTCAGTGGAGCTTCTCCCCAGCAGAGGTGTGACTGGCCTCCTCGTGGCTGCCCCACCCATCTGCTCTGCCCCCATCCCTCTCCCTGACAAGGTCACTGAGACTTTTCTAGAGCTCTCCTGAGTTGTATTTATGGCCTCCAAGCAAACAGATTGAAAAGCAGTCAGGAAGGAACTCGAATAGAAATGTGCTGGAGACACCTCTTTCCTTCAAAGGGGACAGGATTTATCTCCAGCTGCCTCCTGGGACTCGGGCTGTTCACGTCCTGAAGTCACATCTGAGGTGCTTGCCACCCTCCTCCCTCACCCGGAAGCTAAGCCAGGGCCCAGGCCTCAGGCATCCTTCAAGCCCATCACCCGGGTCCCTGAGCGGCCCACCAGGCCCGGCCTGCTGGCCCAGGTGTGGTGCTGGCAGACGGCGGGGCAGGGGACTCCTGGACCCTGTGCACCTCTGATTGGCACTGTCTTCTGCTTGCGCCCTGCCTGGTGGGTCCTCGCCACTCAAGCATCTAAATTAGGTTGTTTTCAGCCCAAATGTTAGAACTCCTTCCAGTTCTGCAGAGGAGGGAGGGGCCCAGCACCTTGGGGTAGATGAGCTGCCAAGCAGCAGCCCTCAGACTCTCCATCACTGCCAGGAGGTAGCCCTGGACCCGAGACGTCCTGAGTGGAGAAACCAGGCTTCAGGGCCCATGTCCGCCTTCATGGGGAAGATGACATTTAACAACTTAGACCTTAGTGTCTCAGACCAGAAGTACCCCCCCCCGTAGGAAAGCAACCCTGCCCCAAATGTTTAAAAAATATTAACAGATTCCCTACGAACGTTGTAAATCTGCTGCTGTTTAAACGTGGGTCTGAGTCCTGTGTCGGGGTTGACATCAGAGGTTATTATTCTCCATGGATTATTCTGGAAAGGGATTCTGTGAAACAAGTCTTTACCTGAAGGGTTTTTAAGCTGGTTTAGGAGCATTGGTGTCTCAGTGCAGTGACCTCCCACCTGCAGCAGCACAGCAGGGGGACCTTGGGAAGCCTGCCCTCCCTCCCGTGTTCCATCACCAGGTGTTTTTGGTTTGGGGTTTGTCCCTGTCGGGGGGGGCCTCCTCCCACCCAGTGCCTGGGCCTAGGGGTGGGCACCCAGCACTCAGCTGCTCGGGTCCACAGCAGGCGCCTCCCCACGTGAGAGCCGGGCTGGCTCAGGGCTGTTTGTCTGGGGGCCTGTTTGTGGGGTGCACTGGGAATGTCGGGTGCAGGTGGAAGAAGGACCAAGAGGTGGGAGACACAACGGGGAGAGCAGAGCCCTGAACACACCAGCAGCTGGCAGCAGCACCCGGGGCCCATTATACCCCGTCACCCAATGCCGGGTGGCACCCACACTAGCCCTGAAAGCAGCTACTAGAGTCAACTGTAGATCTCTTAGAAGACCTGTGCCCACCAAGGGTGCCCACTCAGAGTGGGCTCCAGGAAGCAGCCCCGGGCCCGCCCCCCGCTGTGTAGTACCAGCTCATGGAGGTCTTGGCAGGCCTCGTGCAGAGACGCTGGCTGGGCAGCCCGCTGCCCTCAGCCGAGGAGCCAGTGAAAATGTCTGTGCAGCATGCCAGGTCACCAGGGTCGGGAGCAGAGGGGACCAAGGGGCCGAGAGTGGGGGCCAGTCCAGGCAGCCAGCACTCACGCCCTGCCCACCTCCCCCACGGCCGCTGCAGCGTTCTCTCCAGGACCCTCAGGGGCACACGGGGAGCTGGAGCGGGTCCGGGCTGCCCCAGATGGCCAGGAGGTGATGTAGAAATGCTCCATAGTGTTGGGGGAATGACCTTAACGTGCGGAAGAGTCCCAAAGCACTGCCCCCTCGGCCAGGCCTGCCGAGGGGAGAGCCAAAGGCGGCCACAGCCACCCCCGTGGACAGCCCCTCTGTCCCACCGGCCTGCCTTGGTCCTCATCTTGCATGGGAGCCTGTTTCTGAAAGGGGGCTGGAACAGATCAGAGGTGACACAGAGGCACAGTATCTGGGGTGGACAGGGAAGGCTGCACCTCGGCCCACCTTGCAGCACGTTTCTGTGTCTGTAAATAGCCATGTACAGAAGATGGAAGGGCAGCTGGGTCCATCCAGAGACAGGGGTCACTTGGGTTGTTTTTATATTACCTCATTCGGCAACTCCATGTTTCACGATGGCTCAATGACGCTTTATTTATGTTGTTTGTACTGTAATTAAAACCATGGACAGACAGTTCACTCTGCTTGTTATTTCATATGACCTCGTTTGGATTAAATATGCCCGTTTGTATTTTCCTGCCTTGGGATTTTTTTGTGTCAGCTGTACAGTATTCTAAGGGGAAAAGAAAAAGAAAGCTGTGTGAAGTCGCGGAGAGAGGTGGCTATAGCGTAGAGGCCTCTTTCTAATAAAGAAATGAAAATACATCTACGACGCTTCCGTGGACTCCGTGTTCGGTGTTGGTCATTCGTCACGGCTGATGGGGTTTCCTCCAGGGAAGGTCTGTCACAGAGAAGGGCTTGGACTGCAGGAGAGGGACGGTCTGGGCCCGCCACCCCACCTGGGGGACCCGGCGCACGGGCTGCGGAGTGGAAGGAGGGAAGGGGCTGCTGCTTCATCTCATTCTCAGGGACAGAACCCCCCGAGGACGTGGGTTCCCCGGCCAGCACGTCGGACTGGACCCCGGCAGTCCAGGCACCTCAGCTGTGTCTTTGCACTGCCCCAGGCTGCCACGGAGGAGGGGCAGGGAGGCAGCGGGCAGCCAGGAAATGACACCAGGCCAGGGTTCCACTCCTCATGGCGTTGTGGTCACGAGCATTACTGTGACATTCTCACACGATGTTCACTGTGTCTTTATTTCCCCAAAGTCAGGGAAGTCCAAGGAGGGTAAGACCCCAAACGCCACCTCCCAGGCGTCGTTGCCGTTGGGGGTGTGGCCAGGGCCGTCCCGGGCTTCTGCACACAGCAGGGACCTGCTCCCTGCTCACAAGTACTGACACTTCCCGCTAATTTTCCAGCGCGCAGGAAGCTCACAGTGCAGAGGGGACCAAGCTCACAGTGCACAGTGCCTCCTGACTGTCCCAGCCAAAAGTGTGGCCCACACTCAGGGTGGCATGTCACACCCCAGCAGTCCCCAGGGACAAAGGTGACGTTCTTCCAGAAAATAACAAGGTCCACGGAGGTAATCTGCAGAGGGCTCAGGGCACCCCTTGCACACTGGTTATTGTCTCGGGCCAAACATTTGCAAAACAGCTTAAATAAATTAAAAGGTTACTTTTCC